GACAACTACAGTAAATCACAACCAACACCGTTGAGAAGGTTAATATGATTCTTTGAAGACAAGAAATTCAGTGGAACATGTTTCATAAAGTAACAAATAACATGTTTCCCACTAGAAAGCACATCATGCTAGTTTGTATGGCCTTGCTGAGGGCCAGCCATTGATAGGCGGCTATGTTACTAGCATATAAATGCAGATAAATAAGGCAGAGTAATTCTTATGGAGATGCAGTTGGACAACTGTATTCAGATATATTAGTGCTCTTCATACATAAGATATAAAGATGCCTGTGAGCCAAATTATAAAGCTATCAGTGGTAAAATGTATATACAGTATAATGTAAGACATCTGGACATACTACATAAATAAATCTGTATCCACTAAAGAAGTGATTAACATAAAAAATGTTTTGCTTCACTCACTTTAAGCTATTTATGCTATTTTTGCGACTCAACATGCGTTACAGAGGGCACTGAATGTAGATTTCACCCTATAGAAAATCAAAGATTAAACACAGACCATTACAAAGGAGAGAACAACTAACAGATATTTTCTTTGCTTAGTAAAAATATTTTTTTTTAAAAACTGGGATTAAGTTATTCTGATCAAGCAGGGAAAAACGTTTTTATGGAGTCATGAAGTGAGGGAAGTACCTTGAAAGATGGGGAGAGGTAATTCTTGAGGAACCAGAACTTGACAGGTGTTTTGGTATGTCGAAGGACAGACAACATCATTATTCTGAAACAGACAGAAGGATTAGTTAAAGAATCAGGGCTAAAAAAGTGTGTGAATGTAAGTTTGCTCATAAACTGAGTGTTACCCACCTCAGAAAGCGCTCATAGAGATGACCCGACGCTACAGAAAATATGTTGAGAACATCCTCTTTCTTCTTGTCTCCATCATCCTTCTTGGAGCCACCGCCTGTGATGCTGCAAATGGGACCATAATATATGAGTCCCTTGTGTTTTGATTGATGCATGTTTTTCATATAGTGAGAGCACATCAGAACTAAGCCACTAGCCGCCATGCTTTTGTAAAGCCAGGAGTAATAACAGTCATGACAGCCAGCACAAAACACTTTCAAACAAACCATGCAACACTGTGCAGCAAACTGAGGTTTTTCACTGAAATGAAACGATAATAAAGGTAATGGAAATGTTCTAGAAAGCTATTGTTATGTGATTTTAACAGCAGTTCAGTTCTCTTGCTGACACTCCTGTAGATACTGAAATAATCAGCGATACAGAACAGACACATGTAAAGCAGCTGTAACCAGACAGCTAATAGGGAACTCAGAATTCATAATATGAAGTACAGAATCAATTAAATGATTCATATCAAATTACTAAACAGCTAACCAGAGAGGTAAGGTTAGGTTTTAACAGTAGAGATTAAATAAACACATCAGGCACCATTTTGTGAATCAAGCTGCAGGGTGCAAAGCGCAGTAGAGTGCATTATCCATGGTGTGCAATTTTGCCACGCACTTTGTTATTTTTGTGCCACACCAGGAACAAATAGGGTATAATGTGCAAAAACTACAATGTCTATTATACATTACAGTTGATTGTGTTAGGTTGGTCAATATCCAATTTAAACCGCTATGTGGTTGCATAATTTAACCAAAGCCGTTATGAATAGTCATGGCTTTGCTCTAACACCTCATATCCCAATTAAAAATGCGATGTTTCGGACACCAGTTTGCTAAGACCCTTAGACCCACACTGCTGCTGCCCTGGTAATCTGGTGTTATTGGATGCTACAGAGACAGAACTGGTGAGAATAAATCATAGGAGGAGAGAAAAAATGTAATTGTCTACATTTTTTTTTATGAAATTGAATGAACTTAAGAGAACAGAAAATGGTCCAAACACACTGGAAGGAGACAACATGAAATGTGGTTAATTGTGCAGCCTCTCAGCCTTTCAGCCTTTCCACTGTGGTGTTCTGCAAGCGACCTAAATATGAAACTAGAGAGCAAGAAATAAAACCTCACAGCACCTTAGGAAAGAAAAACAGCCCAAACCATCACTTTACAAAAATAGTGCCGATCAAATTTGCTGATTACCTTTCAGACTGAATTAAACTATCAATCACATTAATGTAAGTAGGTGACCAGTTACCAAGTACACAAGCTAAAATGTTTTTAGGTTGCGATACCAGCACAGAAAAATCCAAAGGACACTCTCCATACCTCTGAGCGTAGCAACATACCCTAACCACTACTGAAGAGCAGCGGCTCATGATGCAAGGCACATTCAGCGGACAGAAATCAGGACTTGTGCTGGAGGGTGGATGTGTCTGCAGTCAAACTGTGTCCTTGTCTGCAATAGACTGCTGATGAGTGAAGGAGTGTCTCTCCCTCACTCAATCACAACCACAGCCTCGGCCCCCGAGGCTTCAGGAAGACACCAGTGAGTGTGAGGGAGGTGTGAAGGGAGGGGAGGGGAGGGGAGCATACTGTTTGTCTCGACATGTCCTCTAAAACCAACTCTGACACACACAAACAAGAAACTGACGGGTAAGCAAGTCACATTCAAACACAAACACAGTGATGGCCTGGGACATTGCGTAACTTTTTATTGCGATCTCTTAGTCATTTTTGGTTTGTTCCTCTGAAAACATTCGGTGTATTTCTCTCCCTGCACTCATTCTTAAACCAAAGCACCGTTCTGTCTCTAGCTGAGTGGTTGGCTTCTGGGGAGTCACCACACATCTGTAGAGTCTGGGGATACCGACTGCCTGCCATGACTAAGCAAGCCATTATGAAGGGCCTCCAGCACTACAGTGGGCCCCCCCAGATAAGCAGCTTTAGAGGGTGAGGTGAGAGCCCGTTTGGCTGACTCACTCGAGATAATCTGGACCTCTGGAATGATCAACAAAGCTCTGGGTAAATCCTGAGTAGTGGACAGTACTCGTTGAACCGAACTCTTCTGTTTTTCCCCTAACTTTGTAGATTGAGCAAAATCATTCTCTAACATCTGTGTGGAGATCATCCAGAATAAACAACAAAATGTGTGCCAATGAGCTGACAGATAGTCAATGTATAATACATATCTACTGTTAAACATAACTCCACGTTCTATTTGCATGCTGTTGCATGTGTAAGGCCTAACAGACTCACACCCAAACCATCCACAAAAGTATTATATATAGTGCAGTATATTCCAGAGGCAACATTTTAAGGAAGAAAGGAAAATTAGAACACGTCTACCAAAGAAAACCAGCTAAACTTCCTTTCATTCCTTCACCACACTGTGTTTAACACTTCTACATACACTTGGTCCACAGAACACAATGACAGATAAAACTCTACCAGTGTCTCCACTATGGAAAGTGTTCTCATCACAACAACTTTCTACTCTGCAATTTTAAGTCATCTTCTGAGCTGTGGTCTGCATATTTCTCTTTGCTTTTGACTATACTGAGCCCCCAGCACAGACACAGCCAGACAAAATCATTCATATCTTTCGAATCTCAGACAGTAAACTCCCTGCCTATTATCGGAATTCAGTTTTGGACAAACTTTAATGGCCAAAGCCCTGTCTAACACTGTCCAAGGTCCTACGACTACTTGGGGACAGGTGGCATTTTACAGCACCCTCTACCTAAAAGCTGAATATCTCCCCAAGGTAACACAGCTGGCCATTGATTCTCTCTCACACCCTGTGTGGCCCTGATGTTTCTGAGAGAAGCATAAAGGACATTAAAACCTTAAAGTTCATCTTCCTCCCAGCCACAGACAATAAAGAGAGTAAGATAGCACAAGGAGAAGAAAACACAAAACAAATAAGGAGAGCATGTAAGAGAGAACAGGAAAGAAATCTAATTACACTCAGGCTCGTTATTGCTATAGTGATTAAGCTCTCCTTAAAGATGAGAGAATTTGTAACAACTCAGTCACTTAGACTTACTGCCGCTTGCTGACGCATGGATCCACCTCACTAATTCTTCAGAGGTGTTGGATCAATGCATGGCCTTCAGTCCCTCCCTTTACAACGAATCCCTCAAAGCACCGAGGTTACAAATGAAGTAATAGGTATAAAGACATCTTTACTTTCAAACCAACAATATTTTGTAAGATCACTGGTCAAGGTCTACACAATGGCTTTGCTGAAATATCTGCTATTATTCTGTTCTGCTGTCATTTCAAAATTTATTTTTCCGGGACTATCAATCAGAGTCCTGTGAAAAACCACTCTGCTCTCTCAAGGAGAAAAGTATTTTCTTGTAAGGGTTTAACTGTCAAACAAGCAAATACTTTTTCAACATTATGTCTCATCTGTTTCTCAGACTAAATTGTATGTGGTGGTCTTTTCTTTCTCTCTGTCTTTTAATTAGTCATCATTTCCAAACTTAAGCAGAGACCAGCTGCCTTCACAGCATGTTAAAAGGACTGAGTGGGACTGTTATGGTTGGACTCTCCAGTGCACATAATTATTTAAATTGAACCAGTTGGACAGGGAATAATTGAGCACAGTATGGGATATATGGTTAGAATGTTTTGCTCAACATGATGAGTAGCTTCTAAGTCTTGAGATTTATGTACCCTTGGTTTGAAAGGAGGATGCGCTGGAATCTTGCCAAAAGTAAGTGCTCTCTCCAAATGCGTTAAAATTTAAGTTAATTTTAGATCCATACATCTCAGGCACTTAAGGAGCAGTTAAGTCTCTAGAAACCATCTTATTCAACCCTTTATTTAATCTTTAAGTGTTGTGAGTATTTTCATTACCCAAATGCACGCATACCTTGGGAAACGGTTTTAAGATTACATTCAATTATAAATCTATTCATACATCTGTCCAGCCACTTTCAGCCTCTTATCTGGTCCTGGTCACACCAGAGGCAGGCTATACAGGGTAGCCCAAACAATGTTCTCCCCAACGACACCCTACAGCTCCTAATAGCAAATACCAAGGCCCGGGGGAATATGTAATCCCTTCAGCTTGCTTTGGGTCTGGCCTCAGGGTGTCCAGTTGGACAGGCCTAGAATACTTCTACAGGAAGTGTCCAGGATCCAGGGTCCTGATCAGACAGCCGAACCACCCGATTTAGCTTTTTTCAACATGAAGTAGCAGTGATTCTATTGATTCTTCTAATCTGTGAGAGTGAGCCCACCAAGAATAAGCTTGATCTATTTCCAAGAAAACAGACACAGCTCTAACTGCAAATAGACAAGGACTGGATGGCTCATTGCAACAGCCACACACACCTACAATATTCCTGGACATCCACACAGACACAGTCATGGACCTTCCTATATCCTTATATGACATGTAGACTGGATGAGCAAACTCCCAAGACCCCTCCAATATTGTAGAAAGAGTACAGAGCTGGTCCACTGTTCCATGATCAGGAGAAATTCTGCTTAATAAAGAATTCAACAGTCAGTTTCCAGAACCCTGGCATTTTCTCTTAGCCGGCACTTAAGTTCAATTAAAAAAAACACTCTGGTTCACTCCCAGTCAAGCCCATTCAGGGATTACTCATATGAGCACTGAGATCTCTCTGAGGGGAGTCCCTAAGTGGCACCCTCTCCAGGGCCTCAACCAGAGACTCCAATAAGGCCAAGTACTGAAAACTGCTGTTCAAAACATAGGTAAAAAACTCTCTACTAAATGGACCTGTACTTGTATAGCGCCTTTCTAGTCTTCCGACCACTCAAAGCATTCACCCTTTCACACACATTCACACAGCCATTCACACACTGATGCTAGCATCAAGGGAGCAATTGGCAATCTGCTCAAGGATACTTCGACATGTGGCAGGAGGAGCCGGGGATCGAACCAACAACCTTCTGATTAGGGGACGACCCGCTCTGCCTCTGAGCCACAGCCGCCCCTACTACTCATTAGCAGTCAGAAAGGGAGACAATCCAACACCTATTCAAGAAAATGGTTCCAGGGTTTGTGCTCTGCCTGACATGAGCAAACAAAAACTATATGTTATAATATATACACACACAATATATACTGGTACTGCTCTAAGCTACCACCTTTACCTGCCATCTGACCAGCAACACATCATGGCTGATGACAAAGAGCACAGTCCTTGAGTTTCAGAGACAATATTTGAATACAAACTACAGTAATAAAACATAGTATATGTATGGCTGTATGTATGTGTGTACAGTACATTATGTTTGTGTACATACTGTAGTTTTATGCACTTGCATACACAGGCTACAACACTACCTGTAGCGTTGATGTTCTAAATTACCATAAATAAATAAAAGCAAAAGAAAACATGAAAATGTAAATATCATATTTAACAGCTCTACATTATTACCATATCTTGAATATATTATTAAGTCATTCTCATTCACAACAAAACTTAGGAGAGTAGCGCAGCATTTGAAAGCAACCAATAAACACTGCATGCTAATGAGTATGACAAAGAAGTTTTTGGTGTTAAATGGGTTGCAGCAACACTGCCTACCTTTTCTCAAAAGTGCTCCAAACACTTCACACAGCAAGCATTAAGTGAGAAGACAGGATCACACAGTTAGGAAATGTCGGGGCATACACACAAATGCACACACACACATACCTACAGAAGCACATATTTTTTGCAAGACTAGATCTTACAGCATAATATTGCAGTCTGGATCGAGGGGAGGAATAAGATCTCCTGAAACCGCAATGCATAATTGACAAACAGAAGGCACATCAGCAAACCCACCAATCAATGAGCTCAAAGTTGTTACTGTCCGTCAGCTGGAGGAGGGTTTTAAAACTTACTACCAACCACATTCTGCCTGTAGAATAGATTACATACCTTGCTATGGAGTCCCATATGCCTTTGCTTTCACTATTTTCACTTAATAGATCTTCATTGATCTTCTCTGCCTTTTTCTGCACCTATAATGAGAAAGGAGACACAACACAATGATTTTCTCTGTCATTTCATCATACGCCATATAAAATCATTCCAACAGCCCCAATTTGTGAGCTGTTGATGAGCATTTCACAGTATGTTGAATGATGTCGAGTACTATGAGAATTCTTATATGCTTAACAAGTATCTAAGAAACAGACTCACTCTGACTTTGATGATCTTACTGTGGAAACTGTTCAGCACAACTATGACATCGCCCGCATCTGCAGGGGAATCGGTTCCATCGTGCCTGAAACAGTGAATAAAGAGTGAGAAAGGTATTGAGTGTCACAGAGTGAAAAGCATTGATTATGAAATCTGGACAAAGGAACTGCCGCTAGTTAGTATACCACAGATGAAGCCCGGACTTATCAACAGACTGGATAAATAATATTAAATCATTTACAAAATAATTAAAAAGCAATTCAAAACCAACCCAAAACATGTCATTTATACTGAGAGTCATGACCATTTTCAGCGTTCTACACATTTTAATACTACCTACCCTTATTAGTATGTAACCTAGACATAAAGAGAGGTACTCATTAGCACATATTAAATCCCAAATATATGGCTAAAGCAGGGATTCCAGTTACCAGCCACGACAGCATGTGGTTTTCAGTACTTTGGCAGTACTCATATTGTAGCAATGACTACAGAGTAATCCTTATTTCTGGTTTTCAGATTTCCTGGTAATATTTACTTTTATAAATAAAGATCTTCTTCATCTATATCAGAAATGCCTCTCTGAGTAGGCGGACCAATGCATGTGTTTGACTGACAGCAGAGCTGACAGGGGAACAGTGATATAATGTAAACAAACTTGTGCTGGTAACTGTACCTCGCAAGCCAATGACAGACGGTGTTTAGCACTGATATTGGAGAATAAGGACAATTTAGTATCTAGAACCAGCCGATGCTGATATTTCCATGTAAGTTCAATGCGATACAGCTGACTAGCTACCTTCAGGCCAATCACTGCACTCTGTTCATTAATCATTGTTTACTGCTGCAAACACACTGCCACCACTTATTAATATGCTTATATAATGTACATACATTATATAAGCATTTACAGAACCACTCAACCAATCAGCCTGACAGAGACTGGTTCACAGGTTTTAGCCATGGCAACAGTGCAAGGAAAATATACAGTATAGGCTTCTCTCATGAAAGAGACAACAGCAGCTAATGGACAGACTACAGATAGTACAGATAGTAAGAGCACACACTTAAAAGCAGATACTGGGACAGCTGCCAGGGTCACACTCTGACCATATTCATTACCTTCCATCATCATTAAGAATCACCTTACCATTGTTTTATCCATCACTACTTCCCAGCCATGCTGTATATACTGTTAGATTTAATGACACAGTCTGTACAGTATTGATTGTGTAACACTGGCCTTTCACTGTAATTGTTTTAGGTCTGATTTGCCCAGTGGAGAGCAAACTTCAGGAAGAGATGTGGTATAGGCTATGATGCACAGCAAACCATTACGACCCCAGTGCTTACTAAAGGCAAAAAACTAACCTTATCACTATGATAAATGCCCCCTCCTCATTGGGCCCAAGTGTACCCCCCCCCATGCTCAAATGCTGCTTGTGTTTTGTCCCCTCTGCTGTCACTGATGCAACTCAGCCTTTAGGGCTTGTGTTAAAAAGCACCAGAGATCAATCTGTATCCCTGCTCTGAGGAGCGGAGAGCTGGCCATCTCATTCATCGCTGTCAGGGCGAGGCGCAGTGGCAGCATAGGGTGCAAGAGGAAAACGCAGGCTCTGGGACCGGAGAGCACAGACACCCCCACTAGACTCTGATCGGCCACCTAACCAGAGCAGAGTGCCGCTAACCACAAGAATAATGACACTGCCAAGGTGAAAAATGACATCACCTCTTAGCTTCACCTGGAGGATTGGGGAATAAATCTTGGTTGTCTGATATGATTCCAGAGGAACCGAGGGCTGTATGTGTCCTAAATCTTGTGTGAAGATAGCCAGAGAGGACAATATCTGTGATTGTAGGGACCTCTAGTATGATGCACTACAGCTGCCCATGCAGACACGCACACATGGTTGGCTTTTGAGTCATTATCGCAACTTGATAGTGAGGGATTATCGTTCTTTCTTTGTTACATAGAAATTATATGGGGTTCCTTTGATATATAAGAATTGGATTTGTTTTAGATCAAAGAAGAAAGTTCCACAGTACACTTTAATTAAAGTGAAATTGTAGAATTAAAATAATACAAGGCATAGAAAACTGTATTTTGTTTGAAAATGCATCAAACCAACCAAAAGCACAATACTGTTTCTATTTGTCCGGGGAAATTAGACAACGCCAACGCACTCTGTCTAGTATATGCAGCCTTTGACACCTACGCCGTCCTGACTAAAACACATTCTGCTGATATTTTGCAGGCTGAGGTGGATGGTGTGGCAGGTGACCAGCTGAATCATCCCTCCACTCTGTCTTCTCTTTAATAGCACCCCTCTCCTCCTACTTGTCTCTCTCCCCTCTGTGGTGAGCAGAACTCCCTGCACTCATCAAAACCTTGAGCTGCTACAGTGTCAGCAGCTCTCCATGTTACCATAGTGATGGGTTTCATAGCTACCGGTATGAAATGGAGAGGTAGCTGAAAACAACCTTGATGCTGAGCTACTGATGAAGCAGCCTAATTAGCATGATTACCTAACTTTTTATACATATAGATGGGAAAGGCTATAAAGGCATTAAAAAACTGTATGTAGACACTGATGAATACTCACGTGAGAATCTGATAGATATCCTCTGATCTCCCTTTACGTAATCTCAGGATCCATGCACCAGGATTGGCTTTCAGTTGGAAATATCCCTGTTGAAACAGCATTTAACATTTACTATAAGCATACAGTTCACCCTTGTTATCTCAACCCTGGCATGATTTCTGTTCCAAACTTACTGCTGTAGTTAAGTACTATGATATCCATTGTCACCCATGCAAAAAAAACTGTCTTGGTATTAAGTAAAGAAGGCTGCTGACCAGGTTAGCCATGACAATAGTGTCATACATGAGTGGGTCCCGACTCATGCCCAGGGTAAACTGCAGTCCACGGGGAGGCTGGCCTGTTGACAGGTCGAAGCAGTGGCCCTCCAGCAAGAGGTGCTCCAGCTCATATTCTGCTGTCACAACCCCGCTCACCTGGAGAGAAACCACAAATTGCAGAGGACAAAAAACAACAACAGGGGAATGATTAGTAGAAAGCACCATGGCTCTAATTAATGGGTGAGAATGATCAGACGGCTGGTAGTAATGACTAAGGACTCGAAATACCTCCTGCAGGTGGATGTTGTCCAAGTCATGGGGACTGCGGACAGCCTGCACAATCCAGCTCTCTGGTGTGATCATATTAAGGGTGAGAAGGGGAGACTCTGGGAGCTCCATGAAGCGGGCAACTGGTCCTGGAGACACTGTATCGTTGGCCAAGAAATTCACATCGGACTCCAAGACAAAGCGGTAAAAGCTGTTAAGACAAACAGAGATGATCAAAATGGAAGTGTTAACTGTGAATTAACATAATATCTAACATAGCAGAGAATTGAAAGCACTAAAATTGTGCATATCCACTGGACTGATAAAACAATTTCATCCAACAAACGCATTGTCCTGTTTTTAGCAAGCACTAAAATGATGACATGTTGTGAAATCTTCTTTCTAGAACAGACTCTGTTGTGAAATCTTCTTTCTAGAACAGACTCTGTTGTGACAGCTGGATATATACAATCTGTTCAAAGTGAGGAATCTAATGCTAGTTAGTGCTAGTGATCCTGCACAGCCAATAATAGAAATATGTGCGGCAGTCTTTGCACCAGAAATGTTCCCTTTCTCCATTATTACTCATTACATTTGACGCAGACGCTAGCTCCAGGCTAATCTTTATGCTAATCACTGTGCTTCAGTGCACCCTCTGACACAGAGGAGTCATAATGAGTGTAGATAATGTGGCAGATGATAAACACTAACAATGCTATTTCTTTTTTTTTTTTTGCTTTCTTATGTTAAAAAAAGGTACATCATTTCTTATTCACAGGGAGATTTCACAAAAGTTAATTCCCACCGCAGCATCAGTGGCTCTGTGGACCAGAACAGACCAGTTACAGAGGGGCTGTTGACTCCAGGGTGAGATGGAAGTGGTGAGGCAAAGGTTGTAGTAAAGGGGAAGAAACCCAGTACACCAGGGGAAACTCGCTGTCTTCTTTCGATTGCTTTGTTTGTGAGATGGCCAGTGAAAAGAGAGAGAAAGAAGATGAGCAGCCCTGTGGTCTCTGCTGCGGTCTTACCACTATTAGAAGTATACCGGTGAATGAAATGTACCCACTGACAGAACAGAACAGGATTCATGTGCATCCACTGACAGCAGTATCTCCAGGGGTGGGCTATAGGATTACCAAGCTTACAGCTCTACAAGGAACATCGAGCAGTAACTGATCTGAAATTTAAAAAAAACTACTCTCATCCCCTCATGGCACTAACAACAATTGACATATTGAAATATCAGCTTGCCAGGTGATCAGAATTTTGTTTTTCTTTTTTGTCTTGGGGGTTTTTGTCTTTAATGGATAGTGACAGCTCAAGAGTGACAGGAAAGGGTGAGGAGAGAGGGGATGACATGCAGCAAAGGGCCACAGGTTAGAGTCAAATCCTGGGCCGCTGCATCAAGTAGTCTGCCTTGGTACATGGTTGAATGTGAGGACGGCAAGCAACCAGCAACACAAAACATTTCCGGCACAAAGGTTGATAACATGAAATGTTTCTGCATTGGGAAATACTGGACTAGTGGAATAGTGGACTAGTTGTTAGTTGTAGCTTGACTGCAGACATCCAGCTTATTTATCTCTCATGTGAAAATATCTTGTAGCCATTTGTGTCAATTACAGGCAATTGTCACTCTGGGGGACAGGAAGTGAGATGGGTTTTGAGTGATTTGTGGGGAAAGAGTTATTTCCATCAATTCAATTCCAGCTGGTCTGTGACAGAGATCAATAAAGGCCATACTGTAAACTGTCCCAGTATACGTGTGTTCAGTGCTAACACTATAAATGACTCAACCTATTATGGAACAAATATAATAAAGAAAAACACCCCACATTGTATAATGACTTCACTCAGTGGTGTGAAAGTTAATGGACAATTTCAACCTTTCATTTGTTGTTTTGTTGTTTTTTATGTTGTTGTTTTTACTGCATGGCCTGAACCGCAACAGTGCAAGCTGTAAGCAATTTGCCCAGAGATGCAAGGGGAGGCCCAAAGCAATAAGGTGGTGTTATTAAGCAGATTGCATCTGTGCAGTATAATCTTACAAAGGGAAGAAGCGAGGCAGAGATGCTAAGTCTGCAGCGGTCACAGGACACACAAACAAGCCAAACAGGAAAATTTAATTACTGTTGGAGTTAGAGTTTACCTCTTGAGGGGCATCTCGGACAACTTGGCCCGGCAATTCATAAACACCTGCAGTCTCACATTGACCACTTGACTGAGCACCTGCAGGAGTCACAGAAGAACAGACCCAGTTAGAAATCAGGAGTAAAGTACAGTCCAGCCAAGCTTTCGCTGAACAAAAGAACCCATGGAAGCTTCTAGTTTCACTGTCCATTACTCTAACTATACTGAAATTTAAGAGCATCACAAATAACAAAGCACATTTCCTTACATAACATCTTTTATGATATAACAGTGGTCAAATAAATAATGAGCCAGTGGTGATGAGTGCATTGAACTGCCATCCAACCAACTGAGATGCCAATATGCTGGCATCATAATTTTCTACTGCATACTGCAGTACAGTACTGAAAAGTGTACACTGCAAACAACAGCTACTGAAGGTGGCTGTCTGACTGGCTGTCTGTAAAGGCACGGTGAGTCATATTTTCATATTCACCCAAGTCAAATTCTTCACCACAGCAAGCCTCCAGCAAGATGCAGCAGACAGCTAATAGATTCAGTGAAACTAAGCTCACTAGGGAAACCATTTCCAAAAACAAAAACAAAAACTGATCTGATCAAAGAATAAATAAGCATACTTCCTGTAGTTCACGAAGAACATACGTAAGTGGAAATTAAGGACTTTTTAAAGTTTTCTGATACATTTTTTTCAATAAATGCTTTTAAGGTGTTGGAAGGTAAGGAAAAGAACATAACCATGAAACATCTGATCATACAGTAGCTCATAGAAAAAACATATAAATGCACCTTTCCTGTACCTTTCCTAATAAAAGTGATTTTAAAGTGTCCTTGCTGTGTGAGAAATCAATGGAGAAAACAGGAGAAGAATACAGCTTACGATCAGTACAGAGGACATCTTCTGTGCCTCCCTTGTGAGGGGGTCAACGATTGCCACAACATCATAGAACACCTCGTTTTCACGCGGGGAGAGATGGAGCACACTGAGGAAGAGAACAGCACGCCAAAGCGGATTCAGCAACACAAGGTTATACAACCCTTATTCAGCAGAACTGCAAATCAAGAGATTCGCCTTTCTGGACCACCTGAAATGATGGCGTGGCAATTTTCTGATCCATTATAACAAAAGCAGAGTAAAAACCTCCTTGTGAGACTGCAGAGCCAATAGGACAGCAAACAGAAACGTTGCCCACCTGTGGCTGTCTTTGATAAAGTGGACATCCCTCCTGACTTCTCCTTTGGGGGCTGCAGTTAGGAGGGCATCAACTTTCATAACTAAGTCACTGGCCCTATGGGAAAAGAGGTGTAGCAGGGTCAGTCCATCATCTATTAATACTACGTGCTAGGAGAGATGTCAAACAGAGCTCATAAAGTAGCCTCATAAATCTGTTCAAAGCTACTCTATCTTTCTTTTCTTCATTACAGAACACTTGACACATGTTCAGGAAAGTGTTGAAAGCTAAAAGTGATTTAACATTACAACAACTATTGTGTCTATCCTGTAATTATGGGATGCTAAATGTTTATCACAAACAGTTAAAGAAAAAAGAAAGAGATATTTGTTTCTTCACATAAGGCAGAAAATACAAACATACTGCTTTGGCTTCATCCCCATCTGTTTAACTTTGGCTTTGACTTTCTCTGCAGATCCGCTCAGTGTAATCTTCTCCAGCAAGTGGAAATCCTCCACAGTGAATTCTTCCTGCTCTTCAAACGCACCAAGTATCTAACATAAGGAGAATAATGCAGTCAGAACACGACTTTACAATTCTTATCTCAGCATGTATTATTTACTGTTTGCCAAGGGAGGTGTTAAATGTAATGTGATTGTATCTACTTAAAGTAATGGTATTCAGTGACTGTGTTCCTCCTTTCTATTTTGGGAGTTGAGTCCTGCCACAAGAGCAGAGGAACGTAAAATGATATTAATTGTTACTGCCATCTCAGAGGCCGGGCCTCTTCATCCGTGGCTGTCAGCATCACTGCTGCTGAGACATCAGTCATCGGCTCTGTACTCACGTACAGTCAGCACGTACAAACAATCACACAAACGCACAGTGCAGTTTGTGCCACCTATGACCTTTGAGAAACAGTCATGCTGATTTGACAGTACTAAGGAAGCACTCTGAAAGCATAAGAGGGAAAATCATCCAAAGTGCAGCGGCTTCAAGGATCCTGCTCCATTGTATCAAACAACAGCAGCAACATTTACCCAACACTTTACCTTTCTGACAACTGAATGTGCTCTACTCAACTTTGATGCAAAGATCTATAGATTAGTATTCTCGAATAACTGAGAAGATGCTAGTTGAGTCCACTCACCCTGCCGTTGCTGATCACTGCCCGCTGTCCAGGACTGAGTTTCAGGATGTCTTGACAAAACTGCTGCTGACTACGGATAAAATCCACTTCCAGTGTGTTGAACTTTTTCTCAAAGGCATCGTCGTCCATGCCCTAGAGCAGAAAAACAAAAGTTTGTTTGGGTATTGGTAAATTGATTGCATTGTTCGCTGACACATTTCTGAAGAATTTGTGATGTACTGTAAGATCCAATAGACTAGCTCAAGGACCTTTCTGCCTTTACAGTCTGTCCAAAACAAAATCTGAGTGATGCATTGGCGTAAGGAATGATGTATGTGATGCAAAAGAATTATTCACAATATCATTGATGCCTTACATCAGCGCAATCACTGCAGCTTTCAAACATAAAATATTTCAGCAACAGGACCGAGCTGTAAGAAATGCACATGTGTGAAAATTAGATTAATCAATTTGTAATTAATATAACAAACTCTTAATTAAGCCTCAGCCATTTTTGTCTATAACAAATTAGGTGTGGGAGTGGAAGGTTTGTGGAGTCAGGTTATTAGTTTCTCCAACATCTCTCCTCAGGAGAACAGGTGAAATACCAATAATGTCAGCACAATCCAGTCAGCAAGTCTGTCTGGCAGCCAATAATAAACTCATATCCCTCGACTCTAAGTCTCAACTCACACAGCCACCTCCTAGCTATCTTTCTGTTGCTATTTCCAGCCCATTCTCTCCCCATTGTTTAAGGCTGGTATAATTGAAGGGCAGTTTGTTATGGCTGGTCCCAGATGTAACCTGTGCTGTATGACTTGTTCCTGATGGAGAGATGGAATATCTCCTGTCAGCTGATTTGTTGATAAGTGTCAGAGAATTTGTATTCTTACGTGTAATGATGTGTGGGTGGATACTGCACACTACAGCATGGAGAACACTAGTGGCTGTAGACTGCTTACAGCGGCAGGAGAGTGATGGTCAGGCTTGGCTGAACACTTGAGGCGCACACAACCATGAACGGTGAGCAGAAGCTCAGCCTTTCATTCAGGTCCTGGAGACCAGGTATCCACCATCACTTTTTAGTTAAAGATTCAGCGTGTGGAGCCCGCCGTGTGCTGGCCCCTGTGACAGATCAAGTGGAACTGACAGTGAGTAGGCTGCTTGCCTTGGCATCCACAGGCTGTGGAGCATCATGCGTGCTCTAAATGTATTCTGTTAGCTGATGTTCAGTAGAGGAATGAGAAGATGGGCTCATCAATCACTATTTTCCCAGAGTGTGCACTTAAATCAAGAAAGCACTGGCAGACAAACCTTTGCGAGTGGTTATATCCAACCTTTGTTTTCCTCGTTTTTGCTGTCATGCTCATAAATTCTGCCTAAAATGTTCCCACGTACATCAGTGTCAAAATAATATTCCTCCAATTTTTCAGAGATACATTTCGCAGATACACCTTTCACTGACACAATCAAAGGCACCAACCCAAAATCAAATCATCAAACCCCCCCAAAAAGTGACTTAAGTCTATTCATTTTATGCTTTTTCTACTTCACAACATTTCATCGGGAAATATTGTAATTTTTACATAATTTCCTCTTTTACTCTTATACATCTGACAGGTGTAGTAACTAGTTACTTTTCAGATTAGAAAAGCATCTTTGATATGATGCCATAAGACAATATAGATTTATCAGCTGTTAGATACTGTTTATATTCAGCTATCCCTTTAATATCTCTGGTTGTATTAGTCCATGGCAGGCAGTGTTGCAAATCAGTGAGCAGGACTGTTTTATGGCAGTATTGGATTTATAGGATTTTACATCAATGTGATGAAGTACCTCAGGCACTGTACCTTTTACACTGGTTCAGCCTAAAACAGAAATTTCCATCTAGTTATTGTATGTCTAAATGGTTTATCAAAGGATTTTTTAAAGAAATGTACTATGCCACCTTAATACAAAACTAGATATACCATAATAGAAGATTGTTGTGATAGCATCTTTTATATCATTTGTGTTGTTCCTATGCTTCTTTGTTTGCTGGCTGTGTGTCCTCTGAGGTTGAATTTCACCACCTCAGCTCACCAGGCATTCATGTGTTTAAGGAGGTAATAAAATTAAAATTTCTAATCAGCCTCAACTGCTGGTATCAGAAAATGTCTACGTTTACTGCCTGTGTTGTTGCTGGTAGGAGACATATCCTACTTGTAATGATGATCATGTAAACTGCTCCTTTCTGACAGCCAGGAGGCAGGTCACATGTAAAAAGCCCAATATTACATGAATGTGTTATCTTGGTTATGCTACTTGCTAATTACTTCATAAGATAAGATAACAACATACTAATAGCACAATATGATCATGTTTCAGCACACAAACGCCTTGTTGCATTGTGATTGTTAGTGTGGTTATAGGCCATGTTTAAAGGATTTTGGGGTTTGACATTGTGTGTTTGTGGGACGTTTTGGACCGTAGTGGGGAGCAGTTACTTCTTACCAAATATCATATATATATTATCACATAAATCAATATTATGTGATAATATTATATAGATGACTTTTGGTGCTTTCAGAATATATTGAAAGACAAGATAGTTTTAAGACAGTAAACTATTAGTAAAAATTATATTTCTACAATGGATAATCAGTAATTATTCATTTCACTCATAACAATAAAAATGTTACCAAAAGAATACTTGATGGTGTTTTTCTGCAAAAGCCATGGTTCTCAAATATTAAATGCTGTCTAAACACAAGTAGCTACACAAGAACGTCGCCTAAATTAAGTCAAAATTTGGAAATATGCTGAATCAAATTCGGTTCTTGACCATTTTTAAGCAGCCCCAGCTAGCTGCTACAAAAACATTTTGCTTGGTATCAAGTGTGGAGGTTGAATAGCAAACATTTCTTACTGTAATGGCTACTGGTAACGGCAAATTTATGTCGTATAACAATAAAGACAATTCAAGACCTCATCTAGTCTCATAATATAATCAGCACCCATACTTCTATTTTAAGGTAAAAATACAGAGTTTAAATAGCATCCATTTGCTAGAAATATGAAACATGCAAATTAAATGTTTGGAAACTGAATCCCTGAAGTGACAAAACAGAACTACATTCCTTAATCCCTCCTTTACCTGAATCAGTAAGTCCTTCATCTTGGTCCCCTGTTGGAGGAGCTGGCTGCTCTCCTCTTTCAGGAGTTTTAGCACAAACTCTGCTGCAGCCTTATTCTTCTGGGTGAGGAGAGAAGCCCAGATAGCCCTGTACAGCACAGTGTTATCTTCGCTGGGCTTTCCACTGGGGTTATCTATCACCCCCACACGCACTCCAGGGCTGGCCTTCTGCTTGCACACACACAAACAGAGCAGTGATATAAATTCACACAAATATCACACATTCTCATATTTCCACAGAGCACAGGTATCAGTGAGGGAAAGTGCTGGGAGGAGAGAGTGTTGATTGCTTAAAAGAGACAGTAAAGGTTTTCTCCTAATCTGCTCATTCTACCAGCAAAGAATCTTTTTTTTTTTTTTCATGATAAATACAAAATGCCTGCTTGCTGCATCACACTTCATTGATCTGTAGTGTATTAACAGTGAATATTTCATTTTAGAAGCATCTGTACTGATGATTCTTCCAAGAGCAAACATGCAGAAAATTCATTTTCTGATTAACTTTACTTTGGCTTGTGTCATAGGGGCCTGTCTTTAAAATCATTAAGAAAAGTGTCAATATACTTCATCACTTCTGCTTGTATGTGAGGTTTATTGCATACAGAGATACACAGATTTACTGCAGATGGGTTTTGTAGCTGCGGCAACACCAGCTGAATCGAAGACAGGTCAATGCGAGAAATATTGTTGATTGAGTCAACATTAATTGCTTCTAAGAATTCAAGGCTTTTGATATCGTGTCAACACTACGAAGTAGTCAAAAGAAATCACACACTGGTGTTTGAATTCTTCTTTCACTACACTTGACATCAGCATTTATGTTTTTAATGCATAATAAAAACAACACACATTTACTCTCTAATGGAAACTAAATTATGGGTTTAAAGAATGGGCAGAGGTGAACAGGACAGAGAGTAGATGATACTCACCATATGTTTCAGAGCACTGAGCAAAAGTTTCCTTCCTGAGACCTTCTCAAAATCTCCGACTATCCACATGGTCACAGCACTCATCCCATCCTCATCTAAGGTTAAAGAGCAATAATTATTTAGTACTCTGAATACATATGATACATATTACCTGCCATTTTAAAATACATTCCAGTCCGCTGCTGTCCGTGGCAGTTTCCTGAGATTTGTACGATTGATACACAATGAAAGTGCCAGTGGAGGGCGAATGTATTTTTGAGTGGTTCCTATCCCAATGTCAACCTTAATGCTTACGTGGCATTTAGCATGAACTGCTAATCCTTTAAAAGGGTTAGCTTATGCTTATGCGCTGACAATTGGATGAAAGTGAGAAGGAAAATGAGGTTCAGTCATTACAGTGAATGTTCGGTTTGTGTGCGAGAGGTGAGAGAGACATCTGGCAAAGAGCTCATTGTATTAGTGGAGAATCATGCCACCTGCCATAGTTATATTCCCCCTAGTCAGTCAGTCAATCAGTCAGTCAGAAAAGCAAGCAGTCAGCCGATCAGCTAGTCCACAGAGGGAGGACGGCAATCAGCCTCCTCAGCCTCACTGAGACAGCTACACTCCAGGCCAGAGCAGTGAAATGTAGCTCTGACGACCATTTAGACTGTTGGCCCAAAGCCAGTCAGCAAACCCAGCAATTATCTTGCTGGAGGCGCAGTCTGTCTACTTTAACAAAGGTCAATTTCACACTTTCATACATCAGTAAAGCAGTACTTTTGTTTAGATACTGCTCATTTAAAGATTTTAAACAAGTTAAGTGCTCATTGGTTGTTCCGCTTTAGATGACAAGATGCAGATGCTTGAATAATGCTTCTGTATTACTACAATGTTCAAAAACTCACCACTGTTACCCATTTCATTTCTGTCAGTCACATACTGTGGCATACATGTACTTTGTATGTATATATATATATATATATATTAGCATACTGTATATATTTTATTACTATAAAGGTACATATGCTCTTATATTTCTATTTCCATTTGTTTTACTTAATGTATAAACCTATATATACACATTTCTATTCTATATATACTTTGTTAGATATTGTAATATAAGTATTATTTCTATTCTTTAACATTGTGTGAGCACCTTGAACAACTGTAAAACGTAATGTTTTAAAGTAAAACGGATTCTGATTCTGATAAGTGATTTATATAGTTGCAAGTCATTGTGTTACTGACAATGAAACAGTGTTATCTGAAATTGTGTAAATTAGGAAAGATAGGCATAGAATAATTAGTGACTCCATACCACTATTTGTAAAATACTTCATTCTCTTAGCCATCACAGCTGTTTTGTCTCTGGAGTCCAAGAATGAAAACATAGTTGTGTCCTCCCAATCATCTACAACTGCAAGGCAAAAAAGAAAAAGTGAAAACAAAATTAGAGGAATATAAAGTGTTAATCAATAACGTATAGCTTAAGATGAGTAGCACAGGTAACCTGGCTTGGCAGTGAAGTCCAGGTACTGTCGGTCAGTGCTCAGGATAAGAGGGTTCACCCTGGGAACCACATTGGCCTCTTCCATTAGATAGTCCACCACATCTGAGCCCTCAGTCAATTGACCCTGTAGGCATAGGACAAAAACAGATGACCGTGACGTCCCTGAGAACATCAATACTGGTTCTTGTGTGTGGCTTATTTTTGACCAAAAATGTTATGACCTTATTTTACAAGTGTAAATGTATCTGTAAATGCAACAATGTAAAGGGCCGGGGGAGGAATATGTATTCGCTATGAAGAATAACACTGCAAACAACAATGTCCTGCTATCTGGCAAATCACGTATATCAATCAAAAGGTTCTACTCCGACCACAAAACAGAGGTAGGTTTGGCGGATTGAATACAGACATGTCATACCATAAAGACAGCTCTCTGGAAGGCGGTGGTGGTGTCCATTATGCGCTGCAGGATAATGGTTTCCAGCTCGTCTGGGTCCATCTCATCTGGGCTTAGAGGGACTCCATTAAATAAAGCCAGTGGTAGAGCACCCAGGCCACTCTTTTGGTGGAAGAGGGCACCATCCTGGAGCACACAAAACATGGACTGAATTCTTTCTGCATTCTCCTGATTAATATTATTTTACGTAATTATTCTTACTTCTAATAAAGAGAAAGAAACAAGAGCGGGCCATTTCATTTCCATACCTGCCTTTTGTCATCATACTCGGATTCTACACCTAGAATCC